GTCAGAATTTCATCCCTTTTTAAGGCTGAAAAAATTCTGTTGTCGGTATATACTACATTTGGTTTAGCATTTATCCGTTGATGGACACTCGTGTTGCTTCCACCTCTTAGCTGTTGTGAATAATGCTGCTATGAACACGGGTGTTCAAATACCTCTTCGAATTCCTGTTTTCAGTTCTTTTGGGTATACATCCCAGAATGAAATTACAAACACTGACACTTTGTTTTTGCTGCTGATTGACCTGATTTCACCAACCCAGTGTTTGTGAATTTCACTTTTTGATCCCAAGGGAAAGACTTTCCTATGGAACTCCCATCTCTACGAATTGTTCCATCATCTCAACCTGTTGAGGTAATTAAACCCATTTACATGAACTGTTTGCCATTTATGCCTAATTATCATACAGCACAACGGCGATGAACGCTTACATCATTCACTTCATGTCAGATTAACTTGCCAGTTCTGTGCCAAGTGCAAGGTTTGTTTCTCACAAAGCTCGGTCACCTGTTTCCAAATTATGTTGATTAACATAATGTAATGTTTATGTAGGATGTAGAAAGCAGCCCCAGCCTGGTGACATACTGTCTCTCCCACTTATTTCAACCCCCTCCCTTCCCACCTTTGCCTACTTCTTGGGAATCTCTGCACTCTCCTCTGAGCTTTCTTCCACATTCTCATTTTTTTTTCTTGAGAAATACTTGGGATGGCCTCTGCCACACTGGCGTGGGGTAGCTCCAGCTTGTATGGTCCCCAGGAGGAGGCCGGAAGGGGAGCAGCTTCTCAGCAGTGTGGTACATAGAAACCATGTGGGGTAAAGGTTTTAACAGAAGGAAAAAAAATCCTACCATCACTAAGATTGCTAACTGTCCAGCAAAGGGGGCCGGGAAGAGGAAGGAGGCAGCCAATTTCTATCACGGTGATACCCATCAACTCCAAGAGCCAGAAATACAGGAATTTTGCATCCCTCAGCCCGGCCCCGCCTCCTGGCTCTACTCAACAGATCTCACCCTGCAGGGAAGGACCTGTCAGACCACGCGTATGATAATTTCGTTTCTATCTGTAGTCTGAAGTAACAGGTGATTTTATTTTATTTTGTTTGTTTTGCTTTTTAAAATTTAATTCTTATTTTATTTTAGAGTATAGTTGATTTACAATGTTGTGTAAGTTTCAGGTGTACAGCAAAGTGATTCAGTTTTACGTATACACATAGCCATTCTTTTTCAGATTCTTTTCCCATATAGGTTATTACATAATATTGAGTAGAGTTTCCTGTGCTATACAGTAGGTCCTTGTTGTTTATCTATTTTATATATAGTAGTGTGTATCTGTTAACCCTGAACTCTGGAGAAAACCATAATTTGAAAAGATAAATGCATCCCAATGTTCATTGCAGCATTATTTATAGTAGCCAACACATGGAAGCAACCTAAATGTCTGTCGACAGAGGAATGGATAAAGAAGATGTGGTGTATACATACAATGGAATATGACTCAGCCATAAAACAGGTGATTTAAAAGTATTTGGTATCCCTGGTCTGGCTGTTATATGGCACTGAGCAGGAGCTTCAGCCAGAGAAGTGAAATATGGGAAGGAACAGCAGACACCTTGGAAGAAAACATCTAATGATGAGTTTTAAAGTTAGGCACAGTCCAGATGCATGCTGTCCTGGGTTCTCTATTTGTTTTTACTTAAAAAGCTCCCCCCAAACTTCATGGCTGAAAACAACACCTATGTTATCAGAGCTCGTGATTCAAGCCAAGTTCAGCCTGGAGATTCTTCTGTTGCAGGGGACATTGACAGAGGTCCCTGGGTGGCGTTCAGCAG